CTTTTCCAAATATCATAGCATTGGAATCTTACAACCCCTTTCAGATTGGCTTCTTACACTTGGTAATATCCATTGAAGGTTCTTCTGTGTCTTTTCATGGTTTGATTGCTCATTTCTTTTTAATGCTGAATAATATTCCATCATCTGTATGTACCACAATTTATTTATCAATTCACTTACTGAAGGATATCTTGGTTGTTTCCAGGTTTGGGCAGTTATAAATAAAGCTGCTATAGGGGCACCTGGGTGGCTCAGTCGTTAAGCGTCTGCCTTCCGCTCGGGTCATGATCCCGGAGTCTGGGGATCGAGCCCCATGTTGGGCTCCCTGCTCAGTGGGGAGTCTGCTTCTCCCTCTGCCCCTCACCCTGCTTGTGCTCTCTGTCCCACTCTCTCTCTCTCTCAAATAAATAAATAAAATCTTTTAAAAAAAAATAAAAGAAAGCTGCTATAAACATCTATGTGCAGATTTTTGTGTGGATATATATTCAACTCTTTTGTGTAAATACCAAAGAGAGCGATTGTTGGATTGTCTGGTAAAAATATGTTTAGTTTTTATTAGAAACTTCCAAAGTGGCTGTGCCACTTTGCATTCCCACCAGCAGTGAATGGGAGTTCCTATTCCTCCACATTCTTGCCAGCATTTGGTGTTGTCAGTGTTTTGGATTTTGGCCATTCTAATAGGTGCATAGTGATATCTCATTTTTGTTTACAATTCCACAATGATACATGATATTGAGCATCTTTTCATATGCTTATTTAATATATGTATATATCTTCTTTGGCAGTGTGTTTGTTCATGTCTTTTGCTCATTTTTAAATCAGCTAAAACACTTTAGAAGGAATAAAAACTGAGAGAATGTATTACCAATAAACTCTCACTAAAAGAACTTGCATAAATTGTAGTTGTGGGAGAAAAAACATCTCAGAAGGAAGGTCTGAAATGCAAGAAGGAATTATACAGTCATTGTCTTACACAAGATGATGGTATCTTCCTCCAGAAATGATGCACTTCTAGCAAGCAATTACGGCAAGAACAGGTCATCTCAATTTAGTCTGAGATACAGCTAAAAAGGAAAGATGGGTTTTGGTTTTAAAGGACCAGTCTACTTCAGTTAGTTCTTAAAGTGTAACTCTTCAGGAGTCCCAGTGGAAAGCCTGGAAGCATTTACAGAAACCCCTCCTACTTCCTGGGCCCTGAACTCCAACTTTTGTTCCTCCATATCCGTGAAACTGCCTAAAACTCTGCTTTAGCCATGGTCCCTCAGCCACAGCCTTTCTCTCGGCTTCTCTGTTGCTCAGCTCCTCAACCTCTATACCACTGCTTACTAATCGGTAAATACCTCAAAGCAAAAAGCTATGTCAAATGTCAGGCCTGCTTCTAAGCTTACCTTCTTTATAGTCTCTTAAGTCTTCATTGCCATGTCAGCTCTCTAATTGTTTTAAATGGATTTTTGAAACTATTTAACCATCTTTCCTAATTGTTTAGCTCCAGGGCTAGTCTGTACAAGCTAGTCTGCCACAGCCTGAATTGAAAGTGTCGTTCTGGTCTTTGCAGAGGACAAAGGATAAATTGAATGGGAATATATACCTCTTGCATGTTTCAAATCTTTCATGGTGGCAGTCAACCAGGAATATAGTATTTGTCTTTGATTTTCTATCTTGACAGGGTCCAGATAGTTTCAAGGCCTTCCACTTGTCCCTTACTTCATGGGTCAGAGAACCAATATGAAGGCTCTCCCAGGTGCTAAGAATATTTATCCCACATATATGGTAAAGAACTGAAAAAATAATCAAAGGGTATAGAAAAGACTCATGCCAAAGCTCCATTTATCACTTGTCCTAAGCAATTTCCATTCCAGCCAGAATATCAAGGTGGCATTTGGATTTTCCAGGTGTCAGTGTCAGCTCACACCTCATATGAATCAATCTTTGAAAAGTCCGAGTATTTCCTGGGGCATCTGAGTGGCTCAGTCGGTTAAGTATGTGACTCTGGGTTTTGGCTCAGGTCATGATGTCAGGGTCATGATCAAGCCCTGTGTTCGGCTCTGTGCTGGGTGTAGAGCCTGCTTAAGATTCTCTCTCTCCCTCTCCCTCTGCCCCTATCCCCCACCCTCCTACCCTCTTGTGCTTGCACCCAGGGTCCTGGGATCGAGCCCTGCATCGGGCTCCCTGCTCAGCGGGGAGCCTGCTTCTCCCTCTCCCACTCCCCCTGCTTGTGTTCCCTCTCTCGCTGTGTCTCTCTCTGTCAAATAAATTAATAAAATCTTTTTAAAAATTTTAAAATAAATATTTTACCACCGTTTATTAAATAACTAAATACAAAAACATAAATTTAAAAATATTTTGCAATCGAATATGTTAGCTTTTTATTACATTCAGGCATTTTACTGAGTTTTGTATTTTGGAAAATTGGTTGATTTTGGATTGAGATGTAATGCACTAAAATTTTTCCACTTAAAATAGTAGGAACGAGGCTCCTGGTTAGTGTTTTCTTGCAAACGTTGTTAAGTGAGAGATGCCTATATTTCTATATGGTGAGGCTTGGAGGGGGCAGAGGTATGCCCTGAGAAGGAACCTAGCCCTGAGAAAGTGAGCCCGACTGCTTCATATACAGAAATGTATCGAGTGTATCAGAGGTTTTTACGTCTTGCGACATGTAGACATGAGTGTACTTTATCAACAGCCCTGACTCTGCAGGCATGGGGAGAACCTGGCTCAGTCTAGCTGAGAGGCAACGGCCTCCGTTGAGGCAGTGGGGACAGAAAGGTGGAATAGAAGAGACATTTCAGAGGCTGAATGGTGGATGGAGGGCACATCACTAAGATAGAGTGCGTGGATGCTCTGTTGTTGGGATAAGCTTTTGAGAGGAAAAGCAAGGCTCAGGAAAGTAATCCTATAACCTGGAGGTTGCTGCATCCCTCTCTCCTGATGCTCTGGGTTCTGGAGCCCCACGGTCAGCAGGCCTGGGTGAGGGGGCAGTGGATGTGACCTGCTAGGGGCCATCTGGATGGGTTTGCTTCTACAGGGAAAGTAGACTTAGCTTGAGGATCATAGTTTCTGCCTTTAAAACCCTTGGTACATCTAAGAAGTCCCATTTGGGTTGATTGCATACAGTGCAGATTGCTTTTAGCTTCTCTGAGCCCTGGTAGATTGGTAAGAGTTCATGAGTGGAATTTCAGATCGGCTATTCCAGTCTTAAATCCACCTGCACTGTACTGGACCTTCATAAAGAAGTGGGAAAATAATCTTTTTTGAGAGAGAATATAAGTCTACAAGGGCAGGGAATGTTGTCTGCTTTATTCACTGATGGATCCTGGTCCCTAAAACAGTCCTGGACCAGATGGGAGCTCAATAAATATTTGCTGAATTGAATTAAGTTGTCATTCAGCCTCTTCACAAATCGAGTTTCCTCTTTCCTGTCAGTTCTAGAACAGTCAGCACGGTGCTGTGCTGACCCATCTTCCTCTTCATTGGCTCGGCTCCAGCTCTCAGGGCTGGGTGGACACACAGTCGGGGGTCTGGGCCGTGGCAGAGCATTAACCACCATGCTTAAGTTTGTACTGGAAGGAAAACTTGTCTTCTTACACAGAAGGACTTGCATTCTCCAACCTGACACTCTATGTCTGACTGCCCTGCCCCCTCTCCTGTGCCCAGACACAGTAAGAGTGGTTGCTGCACACAAACAGCCGACTGTGACCCGTACAAGCCGTGCAGATAATGCCTGGGGTAACGGCACCCATCGATAAGGAGCCTCAGCCTACACCTGTAACTGTGTTCCAGCACGCAGTGTAGACCCTGTGATCAGTAGATGAAGTAGTCAATGGCATAGTTGAATATTCTTATTGGATCTCTCCTCCAGTTTTATCTCAGTTTTAAAATACATTTTCAAGAACATACTCTCTGGATCTTTGAGAAATTTCCTCAAGCAGAAGAACCTTCAGTTATGGTACCGATCATAAGCAGGCAGACTGGACGGCTGCAGCTCTCCACCCCTGGGAATACAGGATGATAGGACCCTCTAGAACCCAGTCTTCTGAATATAACTGCCGACCAGCTTTTCGGCCCCTTTTGTTGGGAGATGAGGAAGAACTCTCCCCGGCCACAGTGCTCTGGGCTCCACCAAGAGGGTTTCTGCCTCCCTCCTTGAACTGGCAGTGGGATTGGTCTGCCAAATTCTTCTCACTGGCCAAGAAGAGACCTAGTTACAGATTTTTACACTATCCTCCTCCAGGGAAAATCCTTGAAAGTCATTTTAATTCTCCGGCCAGTCCTGGAAGGTTCATTCATTCATTCATTCATTCATCCATTCATTTATCACCTACCATTTAACCTGCACCCTCCCTGCTTCTGCTTTACTGTGGCAAGGAAACCATGCTCAGCCCCCGCCCATGTTCCTGCAGCCCACAACCCCGCTAAGGCCTGCTGGATCACTTCCGCCTGTGGTTTGCCTAGGAACCCCACGACCTCCGTCACCAGGGAGACGGGAATGCTCAACCAGCACGGATGCAGACTCTCCCTCCAAACTCAGCGTGTTTTCACACAGACTGTGCTCACTTCAAGAGTAGGACAGAGGTGCCTGGGTGGCTCAATCGGTTAAGTGCCAGACTCTTGGTTTTGGCTCAGGTCCTGATCCCATGGGTCGTGAGATCAAGCCCTGTGTCCGGCTCCATGCTCAGACGGAGTCTGCATGGATATTCTCTCCCCCTGCCCCTCCCCAGCTCACGCTCTCTCTCAAAGAAATAAATAAATCTAAAAAAAAAAAAAAAGTAGGACAGAGGCCAGCAACAAACTGAATCAGAGTTGTTTATTTTTGTTTTATTGGAACATAGCCCAATCTGATATAAATATTAATTTATCAAATTCTTCTTCATTTCATAAATAAATATTAAGTTAACAGAGATTTTACAGAATGTTGTGTTAAATAAGGTTAAAGTACATATTTATTTTGCCTGGAGCAAACTGGAGGAAAATACTTCAAAGATCGGGTATCTGAAATATGTCTCAAACATTTTATTTTTATGCCTTCTGCTTGTGTAAGGTGGTAAAGTAGTAGGACACCTGAAATATCTACTTTGCCTCTGAAGTTTAAGTCTATGGATCATTAAGGCTTCACTGCTGGTTGGCCCTCAGTCTGATTGCAAAAGAAAACATTCTTCTCCTCCTCCAAAATCTTTCACTACAATAAGTCAGTTTTGTCTCAACTTTCTGTTGTCCACTCAGTGTTTATGACACCAAGAAACACTTGCAGGTAGTCTAGGAACTTTTTTACTCTCCATCTTTCTCCTCCACACTTTTTCTGTGAAAAGAACAGACAAGAGGTATTGTAGGACAACCGTCAGTTCTTGTCAAACAGGCACAACCAGACAAATATACTTAAGTTTCCACCGAACGTCTTCAACTTACTTTTTGGAGGTCTATGTGTTCTTTTATCAAAGACAAGTTTTGGAATAATTTATCCACAGCCTCCCCTTGTGCAGTTTGGTTCTTCAATATGTCTATACCCTGAAAGACTTCTTCAATGCACAATTGGTGCTAAGTGAGGAAAATTTTTAAAAATATAAATAATCAAAACAAACTATCAAAATTTGGTCCAAAAATTTAGACTTTGTTTTGTGGAGTTTATACAAGTTCCTTTCTCCCAAGAGTATTTCACTTGTTTTTTTTTTCCAGGTGGGACACCACCTCATACTGACCTATAATTTCTTCCTTTTTTTTTTTTTTAAGATTTTATTTATTTATTTGAGAGAGAGAGAGAGAGAGCACAAGCGGGGTGGGGGTTGAAGGAAAGGGCCAAGCAGACTCCCCCCTGAGCAGGGAGCCAGATGCAGGGCTCGATCCCAGGACCCTGAGATCATGTCCCGAGCCAAAGGCAGATGCTTAACCTACTGAGTCACCCAGGCGCCCTGAGCTATAATTTCTATGAGTAAATGACGTTTATATAATTACTGAGGAGTTTGACAAATGATATAAATTAAATGCTTAATGAAAAATAAAGTGTTTAAGAAGTATAATGCAACTACATTACTGATTTACCTCACATCAGAGTTTCCTCTGACAGTTCTGGCTAGTAATTTTATTCTATTTAGACTAATGATATCACATCTTTAACATTTTAATATGACCATGACATACTTCAAAGATATACGATTCTATTAGAGTTAAAATCACTTAAGAAATGACTATTAACATAGGACTTCACTGTATATTTTAATGTCTACTGACCATAATTCTAAAAATATAACCCTAAGTTGCTAGTACTTTCAGAAAGACTTTAAAGTGAGAAAAGCCAAAGATAGAGGTGAATGGAGACTAGGAGGCACCTCTCACCCAATATGGAATTTTTCTGGAAAGAACGCTTGATCTGAGGCTCTTTGAGATGGAGAATTGACAATATCAAAAAAGGGCCTGATCCAATTGCTTAATGGATTCTACTTAATATTGTAGAGTCATTCCTGACACCATTCCTAATATTCATAAGCACATACATTCACATCCGCATACATAAAAACAAAATAGATGAAATTAAATCATTCCAATGTTAACTAATGCTTTGTAGCTTAAAATAACAAAACCGATTCATGCAATCGTCTTGTCAAATCATAATTTAACTTACATTTTTATGTTCAGGAGTAGGAATCATCAGGTTCTGAAAAGGAAAGGAAATACATTCATTTTTAACGTATTGTAAGATTCATAACTTTTAATATAATGCTTCCTAGTAACATGGTTACCCATTATATATTACTAACACTCATAATTTCATTATTAATAACAGATCTTTAAAAATCAGCCACTGCCAATGATTACCCATGCTTTTTAAGTAGGAATCAAAAAGAAAATTACCCCATCGCCTATCAGCAGAGTTCGATGAGCGGAGAGCAGTGTCAAGGTCTCTGCGACCAGTCTATTCATGGTACTTTCTACAGCAGTGACAGAAACATAGGCAGCCCCAAGAGCTAGCAAACTCAAATGCAGAAGCATTTTCATAGCTCTCAAATGCTCAGTGTTTGCCTTGGGCAGAGAAAGTGCATAGTACAAGATTGCATCCCCAACCAATTTATTCTCTGTCTTTGAGGAAATGAATAATTTCTAACAATCAGATAGAGGATGCCTAATAATGGCATATCGTAATACGAAATGTTTCCAATGCCTTCTATCTTAAAAAATAATTTTACTTTTATCTTTTAATAATTATAAAAATCCCTACTTCCCCCCCTTTAAAAACATTTTCTATTACAAAGAAAATCTTTGGGTTGATACATCATTGCCTCACATTTGCATTTCTTAAAACCAGAAGATTGAATTTCCTCTTAAAAGATGTGTGTAAAAAAGAGAAGTATAATGCACACCACTAAATTTTATACCAGAATGTATAAATATTGGGAAAGTCTTTTTCAGGTTGACTAAATTCTATCGCTGCTGTTACTAGACTGATCTGTCTTAAAAGGAATTTAAAAATACTTATGGGAAGATGGTGATTAGAGCAGAGACCATCAAAACTTAGCAGGGTCAAGTTCACTGGCAACTATGTTAGGATCCTTTCTGTTGCCAGTGACCAAAACCCTAACCCCAACTGGTTGAAGCCAAACAGAATTATTAGATCATACAACCAAATGGTCCAGGGTAGAGGCTCCCTTATATCTTGCTTGCCTTGGTGATTCTTCCTTGGCTCCGTTGTCAGGCAGCTCTCCCACTGTGGTCCCAAGATGATGTCAAATCTCCTGGATCTGAATGTATCCTATTCCTGAGCAGCAGGAGAAAGAAATTTGTGCTTTTCTGATAGCTCAATCAGAAGTCCTAGAATTCAGCTTCCTTGTGACAAAGGACCTCATGTTCACCCTTGAACTGTGGCCAGGACTGTGGGTTATACTAATTGGCTCTCCGGGCAGCTGAAAGCAGGCTTCACCCCACCCAAGTTGCTAGCTGGCTGTGCAAATCAATGGAATGTACAGGTGTGACACAACACAGATGGTGGGGCTAAGTAAACTGCAGCATTGAATGACCTGGCAGATGCTTCTCAGATTCAGCTGATCGTTGCCATGTGACACCCTTGAACTTCTGTTGCTAGATCATCCCAATTTTTAAAGAATTCAAAAGCCTGATTATTATGTATAACCTCCTGATTTTTAAATGCTGGCAATTCATATTTTTTTTAAAGATTTTATTTATTTATTTGAGAGAGAGAGAGCACATGAGAGGGGGGAGGGTCAGAGGGAGAAGCAGACTCCCTGCTGAGCAGGGAGCCCGATGCGGGACTCGATCCTGGGACTCCAGGATCATGACCTGAGCCGAAGGCAGTCGCTTAACCAACTGAGCCACCCAGGCGCCCCGGCAATTCATATTTTAAAAAAAACGATATAGGGTACCATTGTGCAGCCTCTGATTTGCAGTATAGCTGTAGGTCAAGTGGGAGGGCTAGTTATTAAAAAGCCCCTTCTATTCAAAATATTTCTCCTAAAAATATTTTATTATGGTAAAATACACATAACATAAAATTTAACATCTCAACCATTTTTAAGCGTGCAGTTCAGTGGTATTAAGTACACTCACAATGTTGTACAATCCATCTTGCAAAACTGAAACTCTACATCCATTAAACAACAGCTATTTCCCCTCTCCCCAGCCCCTGGCAATCATGCTTCTACTTTGTGTCTCTATGAAAGTGACTGTTCTGGTAACTCACGTAAGTGGAATCATATGGCATTTGTCTTTTTGTGACTGACTTATTTCACTTAAGATATCTTCAGGATTCATCCACATTGTAGCATTTGACAAAACTTCCTTTCCTTTTTAAGGCAAAGCAATATTCCATCATATGCATATACCACATATTGCTTGTTCATTCACCTGTCAGTGGACATTTGGGTTGCTTCCATCTTTTGGCTATTGTGAATAAGGCTACTATGAACATGGGTGTACACAAATATATTTCTTAAAATGTTGTCATAATTCATTAACTTTTCCTCTGTGAGACTGATCTCCCAAACCCGACTTCAAACTCTCATAGAAAAGACTATAAAATAATGTATTGAAAAGAACTTTATTAATGTAAAACTCCATACAAAAGTTTATTATTTTAATCTCCTGTGCAGAAGGAGAACTCCAAGTAATTTTTGTTGATATTGCACCCTCACAGAAGTGGAGCATCATCCCCCTGAAGTGTGGGATACGCAGTGACTTCATTTTAAAGAATACAGTATGGGGGGGCAGCTGGGTGGCTCAGTCGTTAAGCGACTGCCTTTGGCTCAGGTCATGGTCCAGGGGTCCTGGGATCGAGCCCCGTGTCCAGCTCCCTGCTCGGCGGGGATCTGCTTCTCCCTCTCCCTCTGCCTCCTGCTCTCCCCATTCATGCTCTGTCTCTGTCTCTCTCTCTCAAATAAATAAATACAATCTTTATTTCTTTATTTTTTTTAAAGATGTTTATTTATTTATTTGAGAGAGAGAGAGACACAGCGAGAGAGGGAACACAAGCAGGGGGAGTGGGAGAGGGAGAAGCAGGCTTCCCGCAGAGCAGGGAGCCCGATGTGGGGCTCGATCCCAGGACCCTGAGATCATGACCTGAGCCGAAGGCAGACGCTTAACCATTTGAGCCACCCAGGTGCCCCAATAAATACAATCTTTAAAAAAATAAAGAATACAGTATGGGAAGGAGATTATAAGAAGAGGAACTTTGCAATGGAGAAACCTGGCAAACCTCAACCAGATGACCAAGGTCAACATCAACAGTGATAAGTTACGTTAATAGCAACTACTCTTAACATGATGTAATGAGAATGGCATTTTCTCTCTGTGGTCTTCCTCCCCAAACCTGATAACCTCTACCTAACCATGAGAAAAACATCATACATATCCAAATTGAGGGAGAAAATACCCGACCAACACACCTTAAAACTGTCAAGGTCATCAAAAAGAAGCAACGTCTGAGAAACTGTCACAGCCCAGAGGAGTCCAAGCATGGTGACCAAATGTAATGTGGTATCGTGGGTGAAATCCAGGAACAGAAAAAGGACAGTAGATAAAACTAAGGAAATTCCAAAAAAACGGTGGAGTCTAGTAATGTGCCAATGTTGGTTCCTCAGTTGTGTCAAATGTACTATAGGAAACTGGGTGCAGGCTACACGGGAACTCTCTATAACATTGTTGCAACTTCTGCAACTCTAAAACTATTTTAAAATACAAGTCACTCAAGGGCTCTGGGTGACTCGGTCAGACTCAGCAGGGAGTCTGCTTCTCTCCCTCTTTCTCTGGCTCCCCATCCCTGCTCGTGCTCTCTCTCTCACTCTCTCTCTCAAATAAATAAAATCTTTAAAAGAAAACATCGCAAGTTGAGAAAAGCTAATGATTGCTTTTACTTTCATTATTAAAAAGACGTTGCATCCTGTAAATGTCATGCACTCAGGACCTTTTCACTAGACTGTGAGCTGCTTGAGTAGAAAGATTTTATTTCATTAACCTTTTTGTCCTCAAGGACTAGCCTATTATTGTAGGCACTCAATGTTTGTTGAAAAAAAAACCTGAATGAATAAGCAGGTACGTGGTTGTGTTAGTTGAAAAAATTAATGTGAATACTGTGGAAACTCAAGGAGTCTATTCCCTGAGGCTGGGAGCCTGAAGTAATAGAAAAAGCAGACTCCTAGGAAAAAAGATAAAGCAAAACTTTAAGGGTCAGCTGTAGAGACTAAGTCAATGTGAACTACTATGGCATTTTTAAAAACCCACATTATTTTAGGAGAATAGAAAATTACTTGGAATTTTTAACAATTACTAGTAATTACGTAAAAGGATTTCGAATAGTATTGAAAAGTTGTATTCGTGGGTAACATCCAAACTTTTGCCCAAAAACCTTTATCTCTATTAGCAGCTTCCAAATTGGCAACATATTTTTAAAATACTGATAGCTGTGGTTTTTACTATGTAGTCATTTAAGGTCAAATGACTTTTCTATGAACTGATTCTAATCAATCAACTGGGCATAATGCCACAAATTTTTCGTGGTGACTAAATGTAAAATGATAGCATCTCTCCTTTCTTTTTCTTTCTTTTTCTTTCTTTCTTTCTTTCTTTCTTTCTTTCTTTCTTTCTTTCTTTCTCTCTTTTTCTTTCTTT